GTGATAGAAATGTTACCCATACGGGCGCCTGGGTGGCTCAGTCGTTAAGCGTCTGCCTTCGGCTCAGGTCATGATCCCAGGGTTCTGGGATCGAGTCCCACATCGGGCTCCCTGCTCGGCAGGAAGCCTGCTTCTCCCTCTCCCACTCCCCCTGCTTGTGTTCCTGCTCTCGCTATCTCTCTCCCTGTCAAATAAATAAATAAAAATCTTTAAAAAAAAAAAAAAGAAATGTTACCCATACACTCCTCCAGTGTCCCTCATGCTTTCTACAGCATGAGTTTCACCTGCCCATATTTACAGGCAGAACTCTTGACTTTGACAGAGAAAACAAAAGGAAAGTTGGGGGACCTGTGTTTTGGAACAGTACGACTGTTCACCTTTTTGACGCTTCCTCATTAAGTCAACCCAAAACCAAGGGCACTACTGCTTCATGACTAGATCATGAAACACACACAGGCACATATAGGTCTGACTGTGGAAGCCATGATAAGGCATTTTACAAACTGTACTGAACAATATAAATGTTAGTTATGCTTTCCTGGAATACTTGAAAGTTCAGTTTCTAGACCATGATTTGCACTAAGGATACACAGAAAATGAACTGGCATTTTTCTTCTCATTAATATTTGAGGGGCAAATGCTGCCAGCCACATTCAAAATTGAAGAATAATTACGGTTTCCTCCTCCAGGACAAAGTAAGACAACAGTGCGTGACATGAATGGGAAGCTTTCAAGCAATGAGAATAATGCTTTATTTTACAGAGCTGTTGATTCTACAATTCGGCTTGCCCCCAATTCACCTCCATTTTTCATTATTAACGCCACCTAAAAAGAGAGGAGAGGCTGTAAAGCAACACTAGAACACTGGGCTGAGAATCTGTAAGCCTGCACAATCTCACTTTAGCCCCTGAAGTCAAGTCACTTTACCTTCCTGTGCCTCTGGTTTCCGTCTATAACTGAGGATAATAACTGTCTCATAAATTTGTTAAAAGAACTGTGTATGTGAAAATATGATGCAAACATTCTGCATCATGCTTTCCCCATTTGTTCTCAATATTCAAATTACTTTTATGAAAATGAGCCAAACAACCTTTTAAGTGTTTGGTTTTGTTTGTTTGTTGGTTTTTTAAGATTTATCCATTCCAGAGAGAGGGAGGGAGGGAGAGGGAGAGAGAGAGAGAGGGAGGGCGAGTGGCGGAGAGAGCGAGCACATGAGCAGGAGGGAGAAAGAATCTCAAGCAGACTCCAGGCTGAGTGCGGAGCTCAATGTAGGGCTTGATCTCACGACCTTGAGTTCAAGACCTGAGCCAAAAACAAGAGTCCAAATGTGCCACCCAGGTGCTCCCAAACAATCCTTTAAATTAAGCACACATACAGACTCACAAAAATTACCCACTTCATATAGAAATTTAATCTTAGTCAAGCATTTTGCAGCTCATCCAGTGAGAAGGAGGGTTTACTTTTTCCCATACTCATGTACAAATGTGAGGCCTTAATGACTGCATTTTATTTATAGTGTTTGCAGAGCAATGGAAAAGAGCATACCTAGGTAAAGAACTCCTTTGGGGAAAGAAAAAAAAAACTGGCTATCAAACAACATTCTCCACAAGTTTGGAAAGACCTGAAAGGACAAAGCCAAAAATCATACCTAAATTAAACCACTGGTGAAGTCACATAATAAAAGACTGTTTACTGTGGGGCGCCTGGGTGGCTCAGTTGGTTAAGCGACTGCCTTCGGCTCAGGTCATGATCCTGGAGTCCCTGGATCGAGTCCCACATCGGGCTCCCTGCTCGGCAGGGAGTCTGCTTCTCCCTCTGACCCTCCCCCTCTCATGCTCTCTCTATCTCATTCTCTCTCTCAAATAAATAAATAAAATCTTTAAAAAAAAAGACTGTTTACTGTGGTTGATACTATTTACTTCATCCAATCTGTAAATGGAAACATACCATCCAGTTATACAAATGTAGTAATGTTACTGACTATAGAACTGTACCTGAGACAAAACTGCATTCACTCACCACAATTTTTCAACAATCAACTAAAATTATGATCCCCCAAATGACAAAGTATACTCCACACACAATCATCTTGGCTTTGATATAAACCTTAATCACACCTTGAAGGGAAAAAAGCTTAACTAGTCAATTGCATAAAAACCATAGTCACCTTTGTCTATAAATACACACCTGAATTCTCTGCATTTTGAACACCTACCACTGTTAATTGCTAATGGGAGACCATAATAATGGTCTCTGAATTTTTTAATCACCATGACCTCTCATGGTATACTTCTATCTTTACCATTTAAATATTTCATTCAGATCAGGCACCTTCAGGCAGATAAAAGGAGGGCTTTTGTATTACTTTTCCTTCTTAAAATTAAAGAAATGATCAACTACTACCAAGGACCTATCTCCAACAAGTATCTTTTCTTTAAAAGAAAAAACTATTATACAAATGAAAGATGGTTCCCTCAAGATTTTCAAAATATGTAGCTTTCACTAGATGTGCTATTGGCTATTCAATTAAGAGTGAAAAGAGAATTTTTGTTTTAGTTTCCTAGTACAAAAAATCATTTCAAGTCATGCATCCTAACTCATTTCACATACCTAAAAAGCTGCCTTAAAACTTAGTTTACAAAGTTAATGTAGTTCCAAAAGTTCAAAAACTTTCAAGTTAAAAAGAGTATGAAGAATGCATAATATTCTCCCCCAGATGATCCATTTCTTGGAAACCTACCTTCAAATATTATTTCCACCTTTTTGGCTCTAAGAACAAAAATCTGGACACACTGGATAAGCAATGGAGAGCTAAGTATAAATTGTTTAATCTCACTACATCTTAGTTTTACAAAGATGGGGAAAGCAATCACATTTACCACATTCATCAATCTTGACACACCCAATCTAAGCACCCAGTATTATCTCCTGCAGTCTCCAACACAAACCCTCTACTTCCCTGGTTCATCTACTACTTACTTCCAACTAGATTCAGGCTCCTTGAGACTAAACGTGATTATACTTCATTGCTTGTCCTTTCTCTCATAAAAGTATGCAATCGCAGATAGTCAGTAGGTGTTCAATATTTAAACACAATATACTAATCTAAATTGGATTATATAATCTCAGATTAGAAGGGACTCTGGAACATCTATTTTAACTCTTTAGTTTAAATAGCAAAATGTGGACTAAGTGTCCCAAGATCAGTCACAATTACTCTGCAGCAGAAAGAGGAATAGTGTCCAGGTCTAACTTGTAAGTCCAGTGGTCTTCCAATTACATCATTATCTCTCTTCCAATGTTTTCTACACAAATGACTAGTCATCTAACCAAATGCTGACTCAAAGTCTTCATAAGGTATTGATCCCTAAAAGTCATTAAAATCATCACTTCCAGCACCTAGAAATTAATACTTGACAATATACGTTAAGTTTTAAAAGCCTCTTTCTAAACCCTTAATACAAACACCATCCTTATTTGACGAGGGTAAAGAAGGAACAAAAGACTCAATACATTGCTAACGTTAAAATTCAGCTCCAATAGATAATTTACCACCTCATCAACTAGTAGGAGAGTTGTTCAAGCTAAGGATAAATAAATCTGAATTTGACTCATTTAAATTGCAATTATTCACAGCACAGTTTCTGAAAAAGCCTGCTTTAGGAACATATACACCAAACTCATGAACCCAATTTTCCCAACAAACCGCAAAGGAGTCAGCATAATTGCTCTCTAATAACTCTCCTCACTAACACAAAATGCAAATACGGTATTCCACAATTCTGCACTACAATGAAATACTGCCAAGTTAATTTTGACAAGAGAAGTTAAACTATTTACAGTGGAGATAAGCATTTTCTATATATCAGAAAACTGAGTCATAAGACTTTCAAAAATACAACACAGCCAATAGCTAAATAGGCTGTTTCCCCAACCCCTAGGTAAAAATAAAACGGAATTAGGTAATTTAAAATGGACTTATTAAAGGAACTATAGCATTCCATTTTCAACATCTGTAAACACTAAGCACAATGTCTGGGACATAGTAAAAGCTCAACAAACAGCTATTATTATTATCTTGCTACTTAGAGCCTCAAAAATACAAACAAGTAACTTTCCCAACAAAGAGCCAGTATACAAAATTTGCTGCTCGCAGTTTACGTTGTTCATTTTCAAAATAGATGGCAAAATGCCAAGTACGTTCAGCTCGCAGAAGGGTTTCACAGTACCCAATTTGAGTCAGCATATAAATCACAGATTAAACTGACACTTGATTTCCAATCCCAAAGCTCCTTACGTAGTATGACTCACCAAATTCTCCATTTCTTCCAACTATGAAACCTAAGTTGTACTCCTCCCTGCACCTACCACCGTGACCTTCGTAGAAATTAGGTTAGAGATATATTTTTAAATTCGTGTAACACATATTTTTAAATCGGTCTCTGGAAAGGACTGCTCGGTGAGTTTAACATAAACCACCAGGGATGGTACTAAAGGTGAGCGACCTTTAGACAGGACTTGCGATCCGGCCTACGAGCTCGCTTTTGGGGGAATCCTCTGGACAGCTTTGGACCGAAGAATGAGGCCTGAGTACAAGTAAAAAGCCTCTTACCCACCTCACAGTAGAGTCACAGTCCCGCATCCCAGGCCGTAGAACCCAAGTCCTCTCACATGCACCTCAAAACCGTCCCCGACCCTGACATACAGGGTCTCTGCTCCCCCAGCCACCTCGCCCGGCACCAAAGCCGGGAGGCTCGGGAGCCCCGGAGTCGGGTGCACGGCGCCATTTTAGGCGGCGGTGGCGGCGACAACCAATCCCTGCGCTAGAGGCAGGGGGCGCCGGGTCGCCCGGGAGCCGCCGCCGGACCGCGCCGGGCGCCGGTCTTGGAGGCTCGGGGGGCCCGGGCCGGCTGCCTCCGCCATGTTGCACCCTCCCCACGGCCGCCTCCTTCCCGAGGGGCTCGGCCCGCGGCGCCTCCCATAGCTGGAGAGAAGCTCACCTTTTCGCAGAGGCTCTTGACCTGGGACTCGGACAGCTGCTTGCACTCGTTCAGCTGCTCGATCCATTGGTCCAGCTCCTTGGTGAACACCTTCTCGTCCATGATGCCACCCGCCCGAACCGGCTGCCGCTCCGCGCTACTCCCGCGCCGCCGCCCGCACACGGGCCACACCGCACACGCCGCCGCCGGTTCCCGGGGTACCTGTGTGGCTGCTGGCGGCTGCTCGGCGCTAGCGCGAACCCGCGAACTCTCCCTGCACTACCCGGCCGCCGGCCGCAGCCCTGCTCCGCTGGATCTAGTCCCGGAGCTCGGCTCTCTGTAATGGCGGCCGCCGGCGTGGTGACATCACGCCCGGCGTCAGGAGGCGGCGGGGTAGAAGGGCCGGGACAGGAGCTGCGCAACTGCAGAGCCAACCCTGCTCCGCCGCCAGGGCCGACTAGGGGGGCGGTAACCAGGGGCCAAGGCGCAGGCGCAATGTAGCCGGCTGGTAACTGAGGCACCTTCGCTTTTAGGGCGTGGTCGTCCAGAAGGGAGGGGTCGGGGGTTGGGGGGAAGGGAAGACCGAGGCACCGCAAGTGCGGCGCCTCCGGCAGAGAACCGAGTTAATTCCAGAGCACAACGTCCTGCGCGGCGCGGGCGGCGGCGTGGCGCAGACGCAGTCCCGGGGTTGGAGGGTGTGGGCGGAGAACCTAGCTACCGGAGACTTTTTCCCTAAGGTGAGCCGGCTCTGCGGTTCACCCCGCGTTTGCGTCCAGGTCACAGAAACTAGAGTTGTGACCTCGTGGTGCGCTGGAATTGTATGGGATACCCAAATCTTTGGGGGCAGGAACGGGCGCCGAGTGGTAGCCTGGTTGGAGTGACCACCTCCGCCTCTGGGCGCG